GAAGAAATGTTTACCCATGGTTTTTCGCACTGCACTCGAAGAATTGCAGGGCAAGTGGCGCAGCAGCCATTTTTATACAGAAGTTGATATGAAGTAGGGTTTTGGAAAAGTGAATAAATTGATTTGGGCCTACACCGTATTTGGTCTTATGTACTGTACAACTATTTGTGGGCTAAACTTCCCAAAATTACATAATTAGAATAGTTGGCCCAAAGATGGACTGTCCTTCCAGAACCTGATATCGGTTTTGTAGACTTTGTTTTCTTTTTTCTTTTTTTAAAAGGGGATCAATACTGGTTCCTCAATTTCCTCGGGTGACTCAAACTCGAGACATGGTACACGCCGAGCGAAGGTATGCGCCACTGCGCTAACCCCTCTTCGTCGGTTTTGTAGACTTTGTTAACGTCAAAGGAATGTCTTATTGTTAGCTCATGCTAATACTCTCTTCGGTTGCAAATCAACAAAATGTATGGAAATTACAATACAAGAAGTATAAGTCATATATACAATTTTAAATAATAATCAATTAATGATATAATTGTATCGAACAATGTATTTGGATTTTTATATTTGTAAGAACTGGGGGAAACGGTGCAGACTTATGCATGCACATGAAGTGCACCATAATAGGGTGAGTCTATATGCAACTCAGTGAAGTTCTATCCCAAAATTGATTGGTAGTAGAAGAAGTAATCCACTAAGCTTATAAGTTAAACCTATTTTCCATGTATAATATAAACGATGTGAGACAACTCACAAGTTATATATACTAATAGTATTAGTTAACCCACAACAGTGCTACTCAAATGTAACCAAAACAAAATAATCATAAAAAGTATGCAAAACAGTGCTACTCAAATATGAAAATGTAAACCAAAACAAAAGAATCATAAAAAGTATGCAATCGGGCTAATTACTTCTTAAAAACTGTGAAAAATTAGCTCGGGGGAGTAGAGTGCGCAAGGTATGTTCGAACACCAAAATTAAAAGTGGAAGCAATATAAAAAAATATATGTCTTTGGGGAGCGTCTCACTACCCCTCATAGCTCTTTCATTAATATATCGATTTGTGCACAACGTACAACATGGAATTACCCTAATAGGATTCTCTCCTAATCTAACTAATACTATACCCGACTCTATCAACTACTTCCCTAACCACAACATGTGGACTTCGAAAAGAGCAATGGATACCTCCCAACTATAAAGTACTTAATCCTTATGTACTCAAATTGTTTGTAAAAAAAACAAACTCAGTTCTTCAATGGGAGCAAGAACACTGGAAAACTGAATCGAATAAAAGAAAACAAAACGATCACAAACACTCTAGTCTAGAATCTACTTTTCGTATATTGTTTATTCTATAATTTAAATCAAATATTTACTTCTTAGATAAATTAGTTCTTAGTTTAACTTCCTAGTTTATAATCATCATCAAACTTTGTTAGTCTAGATAATATTTAAATCGTCAATATTTTAATATTTAATTAATTTAATCTCAATCTCTGTAGAATACGATCTTGCTCGTCACTACCTATAACTATGTTGTACACTTGCGGATAGTGAAATAATTAACAAACAACATGCTTGTTTATGATCTTACGAGTTAATAGTACGCAATAATTAACAGAATCTAGTTTATTTACTTGGTTAATCTATATATATATAATTACTAGCTAATAGCATTTAATAAAACCTATTTAATTTTACCTATGTGGCAATTAACCATTTCCCTCCAAAAACCGTTACTTTTAATGTATTTAATATTTTATTTAATTATTAAATAATCAATACTAATCACTTCAAAACAACAAAAATCATTTTAAATTTTTGATTACTAACAGTTGACCGTTCTATACATTGACCGTATAATGTGATTAGATGTTATTATTGTGGTTACATTAAATTCATTTTTTTACAAAAATAAAAAACTTATTTGAAATTCTTAAATAAATAATAAATAAATCACAAAAAAAAAACGTACCCAAATATACATTACATCTAATTAGATAAACGCAATTTAAAAAAAAAAATCCCACTCTTTTAGTTGTAAATTTGGCCTGATAAAAGTGAAAGAAAAATAATTAATCATTATATGCATATAAATAACTCACAATACTTTATTTACATTATATGCATATAAATAACTCACAATACTTTATTTACATTTGTGCAAATGCACAGGGTCTAATACTAGTATAAAATAAAATTATCCTCCACCGTTCCATTCAATACACACAAGTAATACCCCGTGCAATCAATCAGTCAAGATAGACTGTACAATTGACATACAACTGTTCGCGATGGTTGTTCAGTTTCATCTAAGTTGTGAACCAAAGTTCATGTTTTACAAGCAACCAATTATATGATCTGCTGCTCAATCCGAAATGAACCATATCATCCAAATATAAAATATTAGAACGTACTGTTAATTAAAAATGATTCTCATTCAAACGAGAATTATGTCAACAAAAAAGTCAAACTTTTTAGTATACACATTGTTATTACCCGACCTGACGAACCCTGATTAAAACCAAGCCAAAGGATTACTTAACAAATGAGAGTGTAACAACTACCTGTCTAACCTAACTGATTCCATCTCGGTCTAACCCCGAGCGAACGTCTCACATCGGTCCCGATCAACGTCCACATACCGAGATGAATCTCAATCGAGGTCATCAAAATCAAGACTGATAAGACACCCTCATTATGCATCCACATATCAAGGCATTTAATCTGATATCATGTGGGACCCGCTGACAATGCCGCCCACCAAAAGTAGCTTTACATAAAAAAAACATCGTACAAATCCCAATGTTTGTATCCAAAAAGTTATTATAAATAGCTAGTCTGTGTACTTGTACGGGGATCGAACCCTGAATATTTGATCATAAACACGTAACAGCTCATCACAGCTTTTCACCTCGGTTCACCTCGGACCGGGGCCATTTTCTTTGTTTGATTACACAATTTTTGTTTAGTACTCATATCAATTGATCCAGAATCAGTGTAAACTCGTTGTTCTAATCCACATAACAACGGATTGGCGCTAGAAGGAGGGCTTCATGTGATTTGAGGTTACCTCCCATCTTTTGGTTCAAAAGCCTGCGACCCTCCTCTGCTATCCTATTAACAGAAGAGTATGATTTAATATGTCTAATCCTGATCATCCTGGTTACTTGTCTGCAACTGATCGGAGCCGTGGGAGAGCGCAATCCGCCGGACAAACTGCAGCTGTTTCTATCCCTCTGGATTGTACTGTCTTATTTCAAAATCCTGATTTTGCTCGCGGTTAAGCTACCCTGTTAGCTCAAACTATGCCTGTCATATCTATAATCCACCCTGGTCGTTCTATCATCCAACCAACCCTTGGTAATCTCTGTATTCTGGAGAATCAACGACGAGATGATAGACAAGAAGTCTCACACGCTACATCCCACCCACAAAGTCGAGCCTCTCAACGACAACAAGAGAGGGAAACGCGTCAAAATGAGGCACTTAATGTTCCTCCTGTCTTACCTCAAGAAATGACCGCGGAAAGCCACTCCGGACACCGTCAAAGGATGTCACCAAACAGACAACCTCCAATTACCACCCCCATGTGCAAACAGACTTGAGACAACAAATAGAAAGAAACCGGTCAGCTCGGCAAGATTCGACCGAGTTGGAAGTTTTGCGTAGGAAAATTGTCGAACTGAAAAGTCGCCAAAAAGCACAAGAAGACACACCACGACGAGCATCTACCTCGGCGCAAGTTTATTTAGAAGCTGATTCACCATTAGCTCCCGAACTCACTTCGGAACCTGTTCCCGGGAAAGTGACAGTACCGCAAATCGGATTGTACGATGGGACGTTAGACCCTGACGCCCACCTTGGCCATTATACTTCATGGATGGATCTCCATGGCGCGTCAGATGCACTTCGGTGCCGCATGTTCTCTCTCACATTGGGGCCTCGAGCTAAAAAATGGTATCACTCCTTACCTCCTCACTCAATTTGGAAATGGCAACAGTTGAGGTCGGCTTTCCGATCTCACTTTATAGGGGCCCAAGTTTGTCTTGTCCCGAAAGAATCTATTGTCAATATCACTCAAGAAGATGATGAAAGTGTTAAGGACAACATTGCTCGATTTAATGATCGAGTTCAAAATATGGAGCCTTGTCATCCGGAAACATTGCTTGTTATGTCTATAGCCGGGCTGAAACCGAACTCAATATTTCGATGGACGTTGTGTCAAAATAAACCCCATACTTTTCAAGAGTTTTTAGCTCGGACACAACAACATATTATAGCAGAAGAATCCATGTCGGTCCTTGACTTTAATTTTGCCCCGAGTCCCTATAAATCTGGATCAAATGGAGAAGGAAAGAAGAAAAATAAAACTTTCAGTGGGAAACAAGCTAAGACTCAGTCTGGAGGCTTTCCGAGGGGTGATGCTAATGATCCTGAAATCCGAGCTGCCAGACGACAGTATGCCAGCGATCTGAAGTCAGGATATCAAACGGTGTACTCAGCAGGGACTGCCACAATTTATGAAGAACTTAAAGGGAAAGGAATTTTACTTGAGCCCAAGCCCGTTAGAGTTCCAGAAGAGAAGTTAGACAAGTCTCGGTATTGCGATTACCATAAATCACCGGGACATAATACTGATGAATGCTTAAGTCTTTTGGCCGCCTTGCTGAGATTAATTGGTCACCCCCAACTTCGAAGATTCACGAAAAACCCTAACATCAGAAGAACAGGACTAGTGCGTCCGGCAGAACCCGTTGACGACGATGAAGAAGATGACTGGGGTGCCCTGCCGAAAAGAATTCGACAAGGAGAAAAAAGAAATATTTATGTATACTCCTAACTTAACCAATCCCAGTATCAATGATGCACCTCGGCAACGCAAACGACATCGGTCTCCGAGCCCCCCTTGTACCTGTATTCATCGAGTAAATACAAACAGTACACGAACCGCCTCCTCCCGGCGTCAAATGAAAGCCTATGCTCGATAGGCTTACAATTCGAACAAACATGTTTTCACTATTGATTTACGGGATGTTATCAATGCACGGAGTTGTCCCATCACTTTCAGTACCGAGGACGCTAACTTGTTTGCACACCCTCATTCCGACGCATTAGTCATTACTGTTCCAATATGCGGAATTCCAGTACATCGAGTTATGGTTGATACAGGGGCCTATTCGAGCATTTTGATGTTACGAACATTTGACAAGTTGGGTCTAGATCCCGCTGATATCAAGCCATGTAATGACGAAATTCAAGGATTCAATGGGAGCATTTCTCGACCGATTGGAGAAATTACTTTGCCTATACGATTCGACATTCCAGGACAAGCTACTAAGCTTATCATGGAAACATTCAAAGTCATGGATATCCGCAACGAATATAATGCCATCATTGGAAGAACGGCGCTCTATAAGCTCCAAGCAGCCGTGTCTATATTTCATTATGCGTTAAAATTCCCGACAACTTTTGGGGAGGGAACTCATTATGGCAATCAAAGAGAAGCTCGAGAACTTGTGTTAATTACTCTTACCGGCGAAATTCAGTCCAGCCAGTCAACTACCGAAAAAGATCCCTTAACTTCGGCTCAACATACCGACGTGCCTTCGACCTCGGAATCTCTTGAGGAAACTACTCAAAACGACGACCGAGGAAGAAGACCGGGAAAAGAACCAGTTCAGGAAGAAGATAAATTGGATCCTCGAACGCAGTTCAAAGAAAAAAACCGAAGTGACCGAGCTGAACCTGGAGAAGAAATCAAACTTATTTATGTCGATGAACCGACGTGTAAAAAACCACTCCGTATCGGACGTCACCTTCAAGAACCAGTTCAGTCTGAACTTATTACATTCCCTTAAAGAAATTCTGATGTTTTTGCCTGGAAACATGAAGACATGAAAGGAATTGATCGTGGTGTTGCTTGTCATAAATTAAATCTTGATCGAACAATCAAACCTGTCGTCCAGAAACGAAGAAAATTAGGACCAGACCATCAGCAAGCCTTAGAGGAAGAAGTTAAGAAACTCATTGATAACAAGTTTATCAAGGAAGCTAAATATCCGACGTGGGTATCTAACCCCGTCCTTGTCAAGAAAAGCAACGGCCTTTGGCGGTTATGTATCGACTTCTCTGACCTAAACAAAGCTTGTCCCAAGGATAGTTATCCACTTCCTCACATTGATTACATAGTTGACGCTACTTCGGGACACGAGTTGATGAGCTTTATGGATGCTTACTCGGGATACAATCAGATTCCCATGGATCCCCAAGACGCAGAACACACGTCTTTTTATTCCGCTCGCGGATTATATTGTTATACCATGATGCCTTTTGGCCTGAAGAACGCAGGGGCCACTTATCAACGACTTGTCAACAAAATGTTTGCAAATTTGATCAGTCATACTATGGAGGTTTATGTTGACGATATGCTCGTCAAGTCGGTTGAGGCTATTGATCATGTTCATCACTTACGAGAAATGTTTGCTATTCTCCGTGATTATTCAATGGTATTAAATCCGAAAAAATGTACCTTTGGGGTGGGATCAAGTAAATTCCTTGGATACATGGTCAGTCAGCGAGGTATCGAAGCAAATCCTGCAAAAATTAAAGCCATTCAGGAATTAACCCCTCCGACGTCGGTCAAAGGTGTCCAAGCTCTAGCTGGCCGACTTGCTGCTTTGAATCGGTTCATCTCTAAATCCACTGACCGATGTAAACTCTTTTTCGAGGCGATCAAGAAAGGTAAATGTTTCGAGTGGACCGAGGACTGCCAAAAAGCTCTTGTCAGTATTAAAGAGGCATTTGTCCATCCACCTACTTTGCAAAAACCACTTCTAGAAGAAATGTTATTTCTTTATTTGGGTGTTAGCATCTCGGCGATCAGTGTTGTACTTGTACGAGAAGAAGGACCTTCACAATTTCCAATCTATTATGTCAGCAAAGCTCTACATGACGCCGAGCTACGTTATCCCCCTCTGGAAAAACTTGCGTTTGCTCTCATTATTGCTGCTCGGAAATTACAGCCATATTTTCAGGAGCATTCAATCACTGTTCGTACATCATATCCATTGCGACAAATTTTACACCGGCCTGACACTTCGGGATGAATGGTTAAGTGGGCTGTGGAACTCGGTCAATTTGACATACATTATCAACCGAGAACTGCTATCAAAGCACAAGCATTATCTGATTTTATTGCTGAATTTACCCTGACTTTAGAGGTCCAAAATGATGATCAACCCTGGGTCCTTTACATCGATGGTTCGTCTATGGCTAACCGAGCAGGGGGAGGAATCGTTCTTGCAGATCCTGAGAACAAATTATTTTGCCATTCGGTCAAATTTCTTTTTCCGGTGACGAACAATGAAGCAGAATATGAAGCTATGTTGTCTGGATTAAGTCTAGCTGAGTCTATGAACGTTCGACATCTCAAAGTGTTTTCCGATTCCCAACTACTTGTCAATCAAATAAACGGAACGTTTGAAGTCAAAGAACCCCGGTTGATGCCTTATTTATCTCTTGCCAGAAAGAAACTTTAAAAGTTCTTTGTACAAGTCGAGCATATCCCCCGAACCTTAAATGTTCAAGCAGACGCTCTATCACGATTAGCTTCCAGTGTCGGCATGGAAAGTGTTGAATATGTTCAAGTCGGACAGCAGGAACAACCATCCACTCAGCTTTCGAAGGTACTTGTAACCGAAGTAGCAACATCATCAAAACTTCCGACATGGATGGATCCGATTATTGAATACATACAAACCGGGGTCTTACCCTCCGATCTGAAAAAAGATCGAGCTCTTCGAATTCGAGTTTCTCGGTTCACCATAGATAATGGAATATTATACAAGAGAGGATACTCGGTTCCCCTCCTAAAATGCATAACCGAACCTGAATCCAAATATATTTTGGAAGAAGTCCACGAGGGAATTTGTGGAACACACCGAGGCGCCCAAGCTTTAGCCTATAAGATCTTACGACAAGGCTATTATTGGCCGACCATGAAGTCGGATGCAGTAACCTGGGTAAGAAAATGTCCGAAGTGTCAAATCTTTGCACCCAACGTCAATCGGTTTCCCGAGGTGCTCAGATCGATTTACAGTCCTTGGCCTTTTGCTAAATGGGGAATCGATTTAATTAGACCATTACCAACCGGAAAAGGAGGAGTAAAGTTTGCCATAGTCGCCGTTGATTATCACGAAATGGGCCGAAGCAGAACCATTGGCCACAATAACCGAGCAGAAGGTCATTGATTTTATATGGAAGTCATTAGTATGTCGGTTCGGGGTGCCAAATTCCATCATAACTGATAATGGCAGGCAATTTGAAGGAAAAAAAACTCGATTCCTTCTGCGAAGAATATGGGATAAAACATTTTTACTCTTCCCCTTATCATCCCCAGTCCAATGGCCAAGTCAAAGCCATAAATAAAGTTATAAAAAATAGTCTCAAGGTTCGACTTGATGCAGCCAAAGGAGCATGGCCCGAAGAATTACCTCATGTTTTATGGGCTTATCGCACAACTGTTCGAACTTCAACAGGCGAAACTCCATTCTCTTTAACCTACGGATCTGAAGCTGTTATTCCCGTAGAACTCGGTGCACCAACATACCGAATTCAAAAATATACCGAGGAGACCAATTCGGAAAACATGAAAACAAACTTGGATCTAATCGACGAACTTTGTACTCATGCTGAATTGAAAAATGCTGCCTACAAGCATAGGAGCGAAAAATATGTCAATTCCAAGCTTAAGCTGTGCACATCCCGAATAGGAGATTTAGTTCTTAAAAGAGTTATAGGGCCAGACCCGGGGCCTTTAAAGTCGAAATGGGAAGGACCATTTAAAATTATTCAAGTACTCCCTCACGGCGCGTACCGAATTTCACACTCTGACGGAACTCCACATCAGTATCCCTGGAACGCTGTCTTTCTCAAAAAGTTTTACCAATGATGTGTCGGATATCGTCACGACTACCATCTTTTTGATAAGTCTTCTATGTCACCTTTTGATGATGTTACCTTTTGATGATACAAAGAGACACTTTTGATGTAATATATTGCAGTATCAAATCATTAAAAATCCGAGTAATGAAAAGAGAAAAACTCGGTACCGAGTAACGCATTTACACTCGGTTTAGCTGACACCTTATAAAACATCCAAATCCCACGATTGATTTGGTCAGGTTGAAGCTCGTCCTTTTGTCAAATCCGCAAAAAATGATTTGACAAAGTCCCAATGACAGCCGAACACACTTGGTTCGGTTGGGATTGTTCTTTAACTAGATCGTGACGAAGTCTAGTGACCCTGTATAAACTCAACTATCGCAAAATATATTGAGTTTCTTGCTAGTTACTAAACAGCTAGCAAGTCGGTTTCATTTTTCAACCAAAGTTCACCAGGAAACCAAGTTACCCTCGGATTAAAAACCCATTTCAACCGAAGTAATTCAACTCGGTAAATAGCTTAATTTTTCTCAAAATATTTTACAAAATTTTATAAACTAATACCGAGTTGAAGTATTGATCATAATCCGAGTTCATTACAGTTGGTCAAAATACCAAAATAGAACAACTGAAATAAAAAATATTCAACAGTTGTTCCCTCATTCAAATATCATCGAAATAAAGCAAAAATAATAATCATTCATTCATCATCAAACATAGTCTGAATTACATCGCATTCTACTAAGGGTGTCCGAATATTAGACCCTCTATAAAAAGAAAAATAAACAACATTGAATCAAGTCAGCAGGCAGGATTATTCCCTTTGTCAGCTTTATCAACCTCACTACTCTCGCCGACTTTGGAATCCACCGAAGACTTCATTTGATTGTGGAGCTGTTCAAGAATTTCATCTTCTTTGGCTTTTGCGGCCCTATCAATTGCAGCATCCGACACCGGAACAAGTTCATGTCGAGGATCTGTTAGTTCGACGGAAGGAATGTTCACCTCGAAAATCACTTGAATTTCATCAGATGTCTCGTCCTTTTGTTTGGCTCTTTCTTCAGCATAGGCTGCGACAGCTTCAGCATAAGCTGCGACAGCTTCATCAAAGTTTTGCTCCACCACAACCTCGGCGAGGGTTCCGATATAGAGATCGGCCAGTTCCTTCCTTTTTTCTTTTTCTCCCTCCAAGATCATGTTAATGTAAGCTCGGCGAAGACGAGCCTCACGATATTCAGTAAGTGGAGGTAAAGCCGAATTCTTTACCATCTCGTCGGCACGACGGAGCATCCATTCGCAAAACTCTTTCTCATCCTCATCAGCTTCGATGTGCATTCCCTTAATCTCCATATTGAAGCCATATTTCTTGAGTTTACGGAAGAGAAAGTAACGAAGTTCCTCAGTATCATAAAGCCCGTTGTCAAATCGCTCGATAACCCATTGAAAATTAATGCAAGTATTCATTTCTAAATCCAAATCCGGGCCATTATCCCCCTCTTCAACGTCACCATGGGCAACTGCTTCCTCTCGTTCCTGACCGAGATGATTCTCCTCGGTCGATGCTCTTTAATTCCCTGCCAACACTCCGGCGTTGTACATAGACTCCCCATG